CGGCGGGCGGGGAGCGCGCCCGGGCGCGGGGCTGGCGGGGAGCGCGGGGAGCGCGCCCGGGCTCGGCGGCGGGCGGATGCCGGGGCGGGCGGAGCGGAGCCGAGCCGGGGCTCGCCGCCGCACTCGGGCGAGGGCTGCGGAGGCATGAGAGGCCGGCGGGGCTGAGCCGAGTCGCGCCGCGCCGGGGGCCAGGGCGGAGAGGGGGCTGCGGGGAGCGCCCGGCCCCGCATTTCCATGGTGCCGGGGGCTGCGTGGATCCCCCCGCCGTGAGCCGGGAGCCGGCACCCGGGAGGCGGGCGGCACCGGAGCTGCGAGGGCTGGTGAGTGCGGCGGGGGGATGGCGAGGGGGCTGCTGCTGCCCGCCGGGGTGCGGGGGGTTCTCCCCTGGGCATCCCCCGATGGAGGATGCGGGGAGGAGGTCTGGGCTGGTCCTCTCCGTGCTGCCCGAGGCGGGTGGCACCGGGGGCTGCAGAGCGCGGGGTGGTGCTCGGAGGCACCGCGCCGGTCCCGGCGGTGCCCGGGGAGATGCGCGGGGGTGATGGGGGGTACCCGGCGCTGCCTGCGGAAGGGATGGAGGAACCCCTCCGATCTCCTTATTCCTGGGAATCCACCTCCCGCTCCCTCCCCGGGCTGCTCTACGTGCGCACACGCGTTACATACAGCGATGTATCTCCTCGTTAATTCTGCGGCCGTTTGGTACCGCTCAGTCACGGTCTGGGGCGGCCAATGCGCCGGGATAAACTCATCTCCATAAAAAAGTTCCTGTGGGAAAGGAGGGACTTTTTTGAAAAACACCTCTGAATCTTGGGGGAAAAGGAATTAAATCCCCATTAAAACTTTCCTAAATCCCCTCAAAACCCTTTTTGGGAGGCGATGAGGGGAGGGATGGCGAATGCACTTGTGCGCCCCCGAGGGAATTCCCAACTCCTGGGTGATGGTCCGAGTCTCCCCATTCCCGGAGCCGTGGATGGGTGTCGGTGACAGCTGTGGCTGCTCTGTGTGACTTGTCCTCCCTGGTTGTGACCTCCGTTTAACCTGGCACGGTCAGGCATTCCCGGCTTTGTCTCTATTCAAGCTATGGCCAATACTTGCACGTTCCTGGAGGTGAAGTGAGTGATGTTCAATTAATCTGTGTTCTGAGGGGTATCAGAAAGTCAATAGGTGAATATTTAGTGAGGTGAATAGTAAGTGATAGAGGGGGGGAAAAGCCCTGTGCGTCTGTGACCAGCGGTTCAGGCTTGGAGGGGAGAGAATATGAAGTTAGCAGAGTGCCATGATGTAAAACCCAGTGCTGACAGGGTTCCCCTGTTATTTGCTGAGCACTTGATGCTTCGCTGGTGGCTGGAATGTGTTTAATAGATCTCAGCTGACTTGGGGACATGGTCTTGCCTCTCCTGCCCTGGATGGCTTCATTGATAACGGTGTCTCAAAGTTAAATCAAATGACCTACTTTACAGCTGAGAGACAGATGCCTCAGAAGAAATCTGTGCCATCGCCAGAGCAGATGTTTAGCTTTTTACCTTTAACACAGAGGTGTTAGATCCTTTAAAATTCGGGGGGGGGGTTGGTCTTTATTGCTGTCCTTTTGCCATTTGCTGTCACTTTGAGGACCCTCAAAGCTTAAATGTGATGTTTTGGGGTGGTGCAGGAAACAGATAAAATAGCTTTGATTTGAGAAACTTGGTGCGAGCAGTGAGTAAAGTGAACATACAATGTCTGCTGTGAAATGGCTTATCTGGGAAACCAGTCATGTCTCCCAACTCTTCTGACCATATCCACAGCTCTTGTTGCAAGAAGATAAAGTAACCCAATTTACTCCTCAGTGGTTTTATGGTGGTGTTTGATGTAATTAATTGTGGGGTTTCCCCTTGGCTTATACCAAGTTTGTGTGGTGGAAACAGGTAACAGATGCTGCATCAGATCTGCACATAATCCACCAATATGATGGAAACAGCTTTCCCCATGCTCTTACCGTGCTCTATCTTGTTCTTTGCATTAACCCTGAGCTTCCCCTGCTCGCCAGCAGAAGGGAACTTCAGCTGGATGCAAAAAGGAACATGCAGACCCAGGCTGGTGCGGGAGCCTGGAGAAGGGGCGAGTGCTCCTGCCCTGTGCTCTTTAACTCTCTTCAGCAAATTGCATTAGTGTGTGACAAATTGGCTCGCAAAGCAGCTAAATGGAAATGACATTTGGAGCAGTTTGCTGTGCAGACCCTGTGGTGTCTCGGGGAAACATGTGATTTGCAGAATCTTCCCGGCATCTCCGATTTAACCGCCGCTACGAGGCTTTCCAGAACTTACTTTGGGAACTCCTGTTGCAGCTAAATGTGGGAGTCTAGAGCATGTCTTGGAACCGTTGCCCAAAAGCTAGGGCAGATGTAGGTGCAGACTGTCTCAATGCCGTAGGCAGCTCCTGTGAAGAGCTGAACCAGGAAAGAAAGCAAAAGCTGATATTTAGAAATTGCGTGGGGCGCGCGGTGAGAAGCTTAAGGTGGAAAGCTGGGCTGGCTGTTGGGTGCCAGCACAAGGCTCTCCTGTGGGAGCAGAGGTACCGTGGTTCAGCTGAGGTGGATTTGTGGCTCTCAGAGGAGCGGACAGCACCGTATCCAACAGGAGAGCGCGCACCTGCCTCTCCCATCCCGCCTCTCCGAGCGCATCCGCGGCTGTTTGAACGTGGCGGCGATCGAGCTGCTTTAATTGGCCCCTCTGCAGCTTGAACAATAAATATGTAATGGAGGAGAGTGCCCCCCTGTTCCACAAGGCGTTGGGGCTGTCATTTTTTGATGGGGAAGCGTGTGCTCTCCTCTCTCCTCATCCCCGTGCGCTCGGGCTCCGCTCCCGCCCGTCTCTTACGGGCGCGTGAAAACCGCGCTCCCCCATCTGCGTTTGGCATCCTTAAAAGGAGACAAAAATAAAAAAAAGAGGGAAAAGAGATGAACCTGAGCACCAGGTGCTCCTGAGACAGGCCCCTTCACATTTCTAAACACTCTTGATTATTCAGCTAATCTTTATTTCATGGGCCTGTTACAAGAAACACAAACGGGGGAGAGAAAGTAGAAGGCGGTGACACATTTAAAATACACAAGAAAAGTGCTGGCAGGAATATAATCGTTCTTCTTCCAGCGATATGAAATATTTATGGGCCTAAGTTGTGGCAAGATTCTCTGCCTCCCCTCCCACCTAACTCTGAAATGTTTTTCCCGGTAAACAGGAACTGGGGGGCACCGGTGGTGCTGCCAGCAGAGCGCTGTTTTCCCCCGGCTGTCGGCAGGGCAGGGGCTCCCAGCTGGCCGGGCACGGCGTCCGTCTGTCCATCCCTGTGGAAGGCAAGGGAAGGGAGGAGTGGAGTGTGCTGGCCAAGCTGCCCGGCTCGTACGGGAGCAGAGCGTTGTGTTACAGTCTGTTAACTCGAAATAATTCAGCAGCGTCCCCTCGGCGAGCTGTGAAAAGCCCCCTTTGAGGTGCCCGTGTTGTGCAGGAGCCCGTTCTCCCCCAGGGCGTTCTGCTATTAATTCATTAGATCTGAGGGTTTTTCTCTCTCGTCCCCCCCCCTCTTTTCTCTTCCTCCCCCCTCCCTTGCAATTCAAACAGTGATGAATGGACAAAAATCCCTCAAGGGAAACATTTTTTCACTTAGTTACAAAGATTTCATGGCTAATTAGAGTAAATGTGGTTTTTAGAGTGTTAATCTCTTAACCAGCTTGGCTGGGAGGCCACCGCCACAACAGCAAGGGGAGGGCAGGGGGATCCAAGGGGGAAAAGGTGCTTCCAAGTTCTTCCTGGGGCTGAGCCACGGACGCTGGTGGCTGGATCTGATGTGTCTGGATCACCAGGAGCATCCCGTGCTGACCTCCTTAGCTCTGCTAGTTGGGTGCCCACCTCCCTCCCCGGGCACGGCTGGGCTGGGCGAGACTCGAAGGCATTTTGGTCTGAGGAGGCCACGAGCTCTTTGTGTGCACAAGTGGTGCAGCGGGAGCCTCCGGGATGAAAGGCAAAGCGGGAACAAAAGCAGAATTGAGGGCAGCGTGCTGTCCTTGGGCGGCAGAGGCGGCCGCCCGGGGCTTGTGTTCAGAGTCTTTCTCTGCAGTGAAAATATATGTATATACCGGGTGGTTTTAGTGCCAGGGAGGGAAATGGGCTGCGGGTGCCTCGGGCTGGGTGGCCACTGCACCTCCAGCCCTGGTGTGCTTGGAGTGCCCAGCTCGCTGGTGACACACGTGGGCCAGGGGACGTGTTACTGCCCAAGTTTTGCTGTTGGAAGTCGTCCCCTCTGCTGCTGTGAAGGGGATTTATCCTTCATGTCTGCTGTTGTGTTCCTCTCTCCTCCGGTTCTTCCCACCCCGGCGTCCACCTTTCCAGCCTGGTTTTGGCTTCACCCCGAATGGCTCTGGAAAACGGGGTGAGTACTTTGTACTGCTCTCCCTGGCAGCCCCACCACCCACCCCGGGCCCCACAGCCGGCACAGAGACAGCTGGGGGGGATATGGGAGTGGGATGTGGGCTTGAAATTCCTCCTCATCCCACTAGAGGGGATCCTCTGGATCCAACTGAAAAACGAACGCAAACCCAGCAACTGGCAGAGCTGCGCTGAGCCGCAGCCTCTGGGTGACGGCAGGACGGGGTACAGGGGCTGGAATTGCGACCCGCAGCTTTGCTGAACACAGCACTGGAGGGGGGACAGCAGGATTTTGGTGCTTTTCAGACATTCCCGGCCAAGGCAGGCTGGCTGTAGCTGCCTCCCCCTGCTCCTTGTCCATGTGGCTCCTCTGCCCACTGTGTGTGAACTCAAGCTGGGAGCTGCTCAGGTGGGGGTGAGGCTGCTCTAGAAGGACTTTACCAAGAAAGCACAAGTTTCCCAAACACACGAGTGCAATATATGTCAGTGATGTACCTTAATCTGCTGCGTGGTTCTGAGTGGGAATTGTGATCCATCTGTGCGTCTTGGAGGGGCTGAGCGACGCTGTCAGCCCCAGGCTGGGTACCAGGGTGCTGGCTGCTGCCTGGCAGGGGCTGCCAGGGAAAGGGTGCTGGGAAAGAGGTGCCCTCCCCTGCTTGTTGGAGAGAGCCCATCTCATGTTTCTCCCTGTAATCTCAGCTTCTGTTTGGGTGAAACTGAACTTGGAGGTGGTGATGGGGGGGAATGAAAAGCCAGATAAATGTACTGCATTATGAAAATTTAATCCTGCTTTGCCTGGGCTAAAATTACGTTCAGAGCAGGAGATAAAAGGCATCAGAATCACGTTGTAAAAAAGCCCAGATGATCTCCAAAGGCAGAGCGATAGTGAGCCTGGGAGAGCCCTGCCAGCCAGGGCCCCCTGTGCC